AGCATCAGTGCAATTGTTTTTGGTGTGGAGGTCATTTGCACTAGGGTCCTGGTCGTTGCAGTGTGTGTTGATGAGGTATGAGTGTGTTACAGTTAAGTAAATCAGCTCTCATTTGCTCTTTGTGGATAGCCTAGGAATAAGATTCAGATTTAAATTGCATTCTTTTCCAAAGAAACCTGGGAGTGCACGCCACTAGCATTTACTCCCTGCGTTTCCGATGGCTGTGATTTTATTATTACTTATTGTTTCCTTTACCTAAATACTAATAAGTTCCTCGCTATATCCTGACCTTTAAGAGTCTTTTTCAACTAGAAAGTTTACTTCCAAGGTAAACCTGATGTGTGTTCATTTACTTAACAAATATTTACCTACACCCAACATGCTTCTCTCACTCAGAGCGAAATGAAAATTATTTATATAGTAAAAAGTTATTAGTTTAAGTCCTGTTAATTTGCAATGTATTAGTATCTGGATAAAAGCCAAACTGAAGTTGACTGTCACCCTGGATGTGCAAATAAAAATACATAAGACAGTAAATACTACAAGAATGGTCCAATAAGGTAGCAGAACATAGTTTAGGGTACTATAAATGCACCCATATATATGAAAAATGTATGTAAATATATGCAAACTATATGCATATATGTGCAAACATTGATTTAATAATTATAAATTACTTTTCTTTCAAGCAATACTTTTTTCTGTATTTAAGACAGGGTCTATAGGGTCTCACTACATAGATCAGACTCGTAGTGATTCTCCTGTTTTCAGCCTCCTAACTGCTGGGACTACAGGCGCACCATCATACCCAGTCTCAAAAACCATCTCAATGCGCCCCGTGGGCAGGGCCGGTGCCACAGCTGGGGAATGGACATTGGATGCTGTGCTCTCCCTAAACAGGCACTTTAGTCCACTGAGCTATCAGGCTGGCCCTTCAAGCAATACTTTTGAATGTCAGACTTTGTGTTCCCTGACAAAAACACAATTGCATTCAAATTTTTCTTGACTCATGATTCATTCAGTGAGCCCCTTATATAAATCTTCAGTAATACTAGAAGATTTCATTCATTGTCAGCTGTCGCTGACCAAGAATAGCCTTTATAATCTTTTTTTTTTTTTCGGAACTAGGGATTGAACTCAGGCCCTTGCGCTTGCCAGAGAAGCGCTTATTCTACTGAACCATCTCCCCAGCCCCAGCCTTTATAATCTTATAATGTCAAGTCATGAAAACGACCTATCTAAAAGGCTGACGTGCAAAAGAGTTAGGGAGTTCTGAGGGAGCCGGTGATATCTCTCAAGAAAGACAGAGTTGCATGGATGTTATAGTCTAAATTAGAATGAAGTGTCTCTGCCCGTCACTAATTCACCTCTGGTGAATAATGGAAATGTTGATACCTGCATTTCCCCACCAGTGAGGATGGGAGTAATAATGCTCAAGAGGTCTACCTGGATTATCATGCATAAACTAAACTTGCCCGTGCTTGATGTAGGACAGACCCTTGTATAGACGAACTTGCTTTCCATTCTCTCATCTTGCCTCCTCTTTATTTTTTTTTTTCAGACAACAGAACAGTCACCCAAAATGATAACATGAGCTGTGGGTGTCTCTCTGATAACACAAATGTCTACTCTAATTGCAGGCTACATCCAGGCATGCAGAGGGCTTATGATTGCCGCTGTCAGTTTGGGCTTTTTCGGTGCCATATTTGCGCTCTTTGGAATGAAGTGTACCAAAGTTGGAGGCTCAGATAAATCCAAAGCTAAAATCGCTTGTTTGGCTGGAATAGTATTCATCCTGTCAGGTAAATCATAACTTTCTTCCAAACAAGGTGCTTTTTGATATTGATGAAGTAATACCAACCGTAGTGCTTTCCCTTTCATACCCTTTAGGGCTGTGCTCAATGACCGGCTGCTCCCTGTACGCAAACAAAATCACAACAGAATTCTTTGATCCTCTCTTTATGGAGCAAAAGTAAGTGCTGTTTTCAGTCCTCGGTGTACATTTCTAGCTCACAGAAACTTAGACACGTTAATGATCTGGATTCAGAATCATGAAATTCCTACGTGGCTGTTGGACAGTGAAACATACTAGTAATTGCTGACTGGTGGCGTATTTCAAGTTTATGTGCCCCGTTGACAAAAGAGACGTTTAGTTACTTGAGCTTTGCATCATCTTTAGCACAAGGTACAGTATTCGGAGCATAAGCTTTATCCATAGTACATCGTAAAATTGAAGTGTAGGGCAGAGAAATTGAAAGAGGGGTGTGAGATGGAAAAGAGGGCCAACGGGAGAACAGACTTCTGAGCTTGCTGGAATGTTATTCGCCCCAAATGATATGCGCCCCTAGGCAAATATTTCTCTCTGGGCCTTGTAAATTTGCTCTTCTGTAACAAACTCCTTCTTGCCAACCTTTATAAAGAATGACAAGCTTCACAGATTTTAAAAAGTGTTGTGAGCCTGGAACTGATTCCCAAACGTGACTGCTCCGTTGTAGATGAGTGTTTTAGCATTAACAGTTGGGTTTCTTGGCTTGTTTGTTGCTTTTATGCTGTGGGTTGTTGCGTTTTATAGGTTTCCTGGGCTTATTTCACTGCATTGGGAAAACTCCATAGACACCAAATCAGAAATAACCACATATCAAATCTTTTCTCTCACTGTTCACATACTCTGTAGAAGTCACGGGTGTAAGCCTATGTATTACTATCAGCCAGGCTGGCAATTCTTGTAGACTTCAGATCAAGTGTTAATTTTTTTAAAAAAGCAAATTACTGAAATAACTGTTGCTTTTCGAGGTGCAAACTGCGAGGTGCAAACTGCGAGGTGTAATGAAAATAGTAACACAGGTTGCACCCCTAACATATCCGAGTAGGGCATTATAAATATTAGATTATTATATTTTATCACACCCCTATTGGTAAGTTCTTTCGGGGCTATCTTACCTGAATTTGAGAAAAGAGATCAAGTAATATAGTTAAGAGAATTTGGATTAAACCAGTTAGCTAACTGAACCATGATTTCAATCAGGTGGTTGAACTCTAAAATGTGTGATTTATAATCTTCTACTGCATCATAATTTTTGTCAGGATGCTGCATATGCTTTTTACCAGGAAGTTTCTTTTGTTCATTTTAAAGATTTTCATTCAGAAGCTTTATGCAAAACAAAAATGCCTGTCTTAGACCCTAGTATCAATTTTACCTTCCAGCCTATGTTAGAAAACTTGTGTCCTGATTTGTAAATTTTCTCCCAACTTACTTTTTATAATGAGATATACATGGCACCAAACATTGAAATGAAAACCAAATCTGTACTCTGGAGATCAGAAGTGTTTTAATGATATTTAATTGAAACGGGATCTGTATTTTTATCTTAAGGTTTGATATCAGAAATGTACCTCAAAATCCTAATTTTTATGGTTTATTTAATGTATTATTATTTTATTTTTATTTTTATTTATTTTTTGGTGGAACCAGGGATTAAATTCAGGCCCTGGCACTTGCCAGGCAAGCGCTTATTCTACTGAGCCATCTCCCCGGCCCCGGTTTATTTTAATATATTGTTAACTTTCCTAGATTATCTTTTTGACGTCACTGTTTTTGTTTTCCTGACAATTACCAAGGATGTCTTCGTCTGCATCTTAAATGTGATTGGAACCCTTAATCAAAAGGTCAAATCTTGGGGCTGGGGAGATAACACAGTGGAATAAGTGCTTGCCTCACAAGCCCAGGGTCCTGAGTTCGACCCCTGGTACCACCAAAAAAAAAGAAAAAAGAAAAAGAACAAAAAGGTCAAAGCTCATTCCTGAATGTTGCCTGTGCTTGTGAGATTCAGTTCAGGGCTGGAGGCATTTCTTAGTCTCCTAGCATCTCTATAGAACACAGTTCAGTAATGTTGTAAAGCACTTTCCTAATAATCCTTTAGTGCTTTTTGTTTTGTTTTGCAATTATTTAAAATAACATGAACCATTTGCCAGTTTATCTTATGTAATTAAAAGTACAAGGAGTAGGGTTATGAAAAACAACCCTGCTAGCGGAGTGTGGCAGTTCATAACTGCAATCCCAGCAAGTTGGGAGACTGAGGCAGGAGAGTTGAAGTTTGTGCCTAGCCTGGACCATTTAGCAATTGAGCAAGATCTTATCTCAAAATTAAAAAATAAAAAGAGCTTGGAATATAGCTGAGTGTGAAAGCCCTGGTGTCAATCTCCTATACTGCCCCCCCCAAAAAAAATCCAGCATTGCTAGCCAACTGGTATTTATAAATACTTCACATTGATGTATTATAGAAAATATAGGCTATAAACAAACATGCATATTGATCATGGAACTTTCTCTTGTTGCATGTTATTCCCCGAGCATCTATCACAAAGAAAAGCCCTCAGTGATCTAAATAAATTCCAATTAGATCAAAGAATCATCAGGCACTGAGAATTGTAAATTTGATCAGATTCTCATTACAGTAAAAACGACACATGAAGGAATGACAGGGATTCAGAGACCTCAAATAAACAAAATGTGCTTTTTTAAAAACCACCAAACTGTCATGACTTCCTCTGGTTTTCTGTTATTTTCTCCTAGGGAAGAGGATAATTCACAGCTTCAGTAGTCAGTAAGCTACGCGTTGCCTATGGAGAGAATGGACTGGTTTCATACTTAGTAAGAGCCATCATGATTATTGCAAGGTTTCCATGTGGCCTCTTCTAGGAGACAGTGCTGTCTTGGGCGGCCTTTGCTAGAACTGCACCATGGGTGCTTCTGATTTCATCTGCCCATGCATTTAGGAGGATTGTGTGCAGGAGTCAAAGTTTGAGGCTGGGCCAACCTGAGTGAGCTAAGGTTTGGAGGATGCAGCTGTAGGGAAGGCCCTATTGCTTAGGTGTCCTGCTCAACTGGCAAGAGAATTAAGTAGTTCCTTGAGACCAGAAAGCATCCCTTTCATTTCTGTTGTCTTTGCATGTACAGTGACTAGGAGTGAAATTGTACTGTAGACGAGGGCCCTTTGTGATTACAAGCAAGCCTTCTGTCAAGGCACATGCGCTCTCCTCTTGTCATTGTGTTCATACTTTAGTTGTTCAAAACATAAGCCACCAGCAAATGCCACCTCCTGCTGGAGCCCTGGAAGGTGTGACTGTAGGTCGAACCCATGTTCCTGGGTTCTTGGTCCAGACACTGAGACATACTCCAGGCTGAATGGCAGCCTGAAATTCTAACCTGTGCTAGGAAGCATTTCAGGCCTCAAAGCAAGGTTTTGGTGCTGGTTTGCTGCTCTTGATTTTCCCAGGGCTTCTCTGTGTAGGTGTGGAGGATGTCACTGTGGGAAGCCCACCGGGGCTGCCTAAGTACACCTCAGCTTATTAATAAAGTTCATACTGTGCTCATGAATGCAGTAGAGCTCTGTTGGTGAAAGATGTGAGTGGCTTCTGATGGCAAGTAGGGGGGGTCACATCCTGGTGCTGAATTGCCTGTTAAGAATCCTAAGACTCTCCCTTTCCCACCACAGAGCTGGTGGGAAAGATTTTTCTTCCAATACTTTTGACAGAATTGTGCTCTTCACCCAAGTTCTGCCTTCTTGCATTTGTGGTTATGTTCATGACTCCAGTATGTGGAGCCTTAAAAACTATTTCTCCACTCTTGCCTTTAGCTCCTTTTTATTAAAACAAAATCAACCAAATTTAAAAAGGCTCCCTTCCCCGCAGCTATGGCAATAGGTAGTGTGTGGTGTGACTCACCGTACCAGGGCGAGTGCTTCATTCCTGTCATTGCCTTGTTGCCCCAAAGCCCTAGCTTCCTGGACATCTTGCTTTGTTTTCTTAAGCTGCTCCAAGAAACTTCTTCAAGTTAAGCAAAGTTATGGCATTTAAGCAAGTCCCTATTCAAGGAAAACAACCTCGTGATCTTGATCTTAGATTTGTTCTCTTTCTGTATATGAGATTTAGCATTAATGTTTTGGCTTAGATGGTCTCATGTTTGGGTCTTATCCTCCAAACTTTTGTTTTTATTATCTTCAAAACCATGGTACCCTCTTCATTCCAGGCATATTTGATTTCTACTTCAGGATTGGAGCTTTTGTGAGGTAAAATCTTTTCATGGTGGTGGTTGTTCCTTTGCTAGAAATAAATGACTGGTGCAGCTTAGTGGTACAGAGTAGGCTTATGCTGGACAAAGGTGCAGTTCAGCCCCCAGCACTAAAAATTAAAAGATGAAGAAAAACTAAAAAGCTGCTTGCTTTGAGATAAACTATCTCATTCCTATTGTCAAGTTAAATGAACAATAAACAATTCAAGAAGTAGAATACAGATTTTCCTGGGTGAGGCTGGAAAGAACATCAGTCTCACAGGAGAACTTGCCAAGATATTTAACTTCACTCTTCTGTCCTTATTGTACTTTATTACATTATGTCTATTCATTTAAGATTGCTTAGGGGGTTATTTGAAGAATGAGCTAATGCTGCTAAAGAGCTCATAGATTCTTAGAGAGGAGATTCCACATAGTGGCAAGCATTAAGAGCAAATTAGATTCAACTGTTAAATATTAAGGTGTTAATGCCGTGAAGGTATTTGTTTGGAAGCCACATAGGCTATTTCTGATTTATTTCTGGCCTTAAAAATCTGCTTGGATACCAAGTGAATGGAAACTCTATTTTGTTTTTATGGAGTAGTGCAGGGAGTAATTATTTCACTCAGGGTGTCCTACTTTCTGTAGTTCAGCTCCTAACTGTCACATCCTGGCTTATTTCTAGTCATTTCTCAGGACTTGCCTTTCCAGGGAGATGCCTCACCTGGGGGTCCCTTTGTGTCTTGTGACCCATCATAGTCCTCTGGGTAGTGAGCATCTGCTTGTTCATTAGCCAGTTTCCTGACCAGCTGGGGAGCATCCCACAGGAGTCTGCCTGTTAATTGTGGAGTCTTTGGGGTGAAGCTGAGTATCAGCCTCACGGATGACCCTACCATATTTAACTTCACTCTTCCATCCTCATT